GGGATTACAGGCTTGAGCCACCGTGCCCGGCCTCATATTTGCATTTCTAAGATGCTGCAGCCTTTGCACTGACCACCAGAGAGCGCTGTGCCCCTTGTGGCAAGATCAAGCAATCTGGAATCTGAAGGAAAAGGAAGTAGTTCAAGCCGATGATCAGTCCTTTGTGGTTGTTGTCTAAGATAAGTTCTTACAACTGAGATGCGTTTGCCATCTGGCATCTTTCAGCATCTAAGGGAGACAAATCTGCCTTGAGACAGGGAGTCTGCCGCTGATTCTCACACCATCTTCTCCAGCTAGGTGGGGGACAGAATGAGGCCTGCAGTCAACTCACGGATTCTGCAGTTTTTTGTTTTGGTTTGGTGTTTGTTTGTTCTTGAGACAGGATCTGGCTCCGTAACTCAGGCTGGAATGCAGTGTCGCAATCTCGGCTCACTGCAACCTCCACCTCCTGGATCCAAGTGATCCTCACACCCCAGCCTCCCGAGTAGCAAGACCACAGGTGTGTGCCACCATACCAGGCTAATTTGTGTATTTTTAGTAGAGACGGGGTTTTGCCATGTTGGCCAGGCTGGTCTCCAACTTCTGACCTCAGGTGATCCGCCCACCTCAGCCTCCCAAAATGCCACGATAGGATTTTTTTTTTTTTTTTAGTTCCCTTTTTCCAAATGAGAAAACCAAGGTTCAGAGAGGGAGAGCGTGTTGCCCAAAGTGGCCCAGCAGAGCCACAGCCTTCCATCTGGCTCCAGTGCCTTCCAGACCTCCCCTCTCAGCCAACTGCCTCCCAACCTCTAATAAACTCCTGAGAAACGCTGAGCAGACGCAGTGGTACCCACCCTCTTTATCTGCCCAAATCGGGCTGGCTCGGTGGAGCAGTCAATAATTAATTCTGAATTCTCTCCATCTATCACGGCGGCAGGAGCCGGAGTGCCTGGAATCCCAATCCCAAGCCTTGGTCACCAGAACCAAGGCACAGTGGTAGCAGGAACTGGGATGGGGAGGGGGCCTCACCGAGCCTGGGGAGGGAGTATGGGTGTCCCTGGCCCCCCACCACTCCCTGACGCTGCGTTATTACACGCCGTGCATCGCAGCAGTGACCAAACCAGACCCTCTTCCCGGTCTTCCCGCTGCCCACGGGCTAGTGGGGAAAACATACATCGAATGAATAATAATATAAATAATTAATGCTACAAAGGAAAAGAACAAGATGTGAGAATACAAAACAACAGGAACAGGACTTGTTTTGGGGCCTCCCCAAGGAAGTGACATTGAACCTGCAAATCACAGGGTGAAAGGTGAAAGGTTGGAAGAGGATATTTCATATACAGAAACAGCCCACACAGGCCGGGCGCGGTGGCTCACGCCTGTAATCCCAGCGCTTTGGGAGGCTGAGGCGGACGGATCACCTGAGGTCAGGAGTTCGAGACCAGCCTGGCCAACATGGCGAAATTCCATCTCTACTAAAACTACAAAAATTAGCCAGGCAAAGATAACAAATAAGAAACAACAACAAACAAACGAAAACTTAACTGGGTGTGGTGACACATGCCTGTAGTCCCAGCTACTCGGGAGGCTGAGGCAGGAGGAAGGCTTGAACCCAGGAGGTGGAGGGCACAGGGAGCTAAGATTGTGCCACTGCGCTCCAGCCTGGGCAACAGAGCCAGATTCTATCTCAAAAAACAAAGAAAGAAAGAAAGAAAGGAAAGAAAAGACATAGTCTGTGAAAAAAAACCCTGTGGCTGAGGCCCAGCAAGGGGTTTAGTAGATCTGAAGCTCAAAGCACAAGTGTGAGGTCAGTGCCACGTCAGGAGGCCTCAGGGCTAGGCCTGGAGCCCTCATAGTGAGGTCAGCAGCCTTCAGGGGATAGCCAGGGGCCATCAAGGAAAGAGATGGGTAAGTTTCCCTGATGATCCAAGGGGCGGTAGTGAGGCCGCTTCCACCCCAGCTGTGTCACCCTGCAAGGCCAGGTGTTTGGCTCTGAGTTTTTTTTGTTTTTTTTCCTTATGACTGTTTTCCCTTTTGAGGGTTCTTTCAAATCCATTTGGGACGGGAATGAGTCAGGATTTCTCTGCCAGCAAACAGCCAATGTCACGCAAGCAGCTCCCGGCCTGGCCATCCCAAATACCTCCCTCCCTGGGCAGGCAGGGAAACTGAGGCCCAGCGAGGGACAAAGAACAGCCGAGGTCACTCAGGGGAAGGTTGAGTGTGGAAGGGGTTTCCGGGGAGGCTCAGGGGCCATGCACCTGCCCTCCAGCTTCCATTTCTTTTGTTGGGGGTGTGAGCTTCGTGGGGGGCTTGACTGGGCGTCCCGGTCACCCTGCTGTCCTCAGAACCCTGCACACTGGAGGTGCTTAATCAGGGACTGTGCAATGCATGACCCCAGCAGCTTCTGAAAACACCCCAGAGGTCATCCTTGGACATCAGAAGGAAAGGGGGACTCTTCATTTGTGTGTGTGTGTGTGAGATGGGATCTCATCTGTCACCCAGGCTGGGGTGCAGGGGTACAGTCTCGGCTCACGGCAGCCTCTGCCCCCCAGACTCAAGCGATTCTCCCACCTCAGCCTCCGGAGTAGCTAGAATTCCAGCCGTGCACCACCACGCCTGGCTATGTGTTTTGTATTTTCAGTAGTGAAGGGGTTTTACCATGTTGCCCAGGTCCAGGCTGGTCTCAAACTGCTAGCCTCCAGCGATCCTCTAGCCTTGACCTCCCAAAGTGCTAGGATCACAGGCATGAGCCACTGTGCCCAGCCAACTTATGTTTTCATCATTTTTTTTAAATGTAATGTTATATTTCTTAATTATGTATTTATTTTATTTTATTTTTTTTTTTTTTTTTGAGACGGAGTTTCGCTCTTGTTACCCAGGCTGGAGTGCAATGGCGCGATCCCGGCTCACCGCCACCTCCGCCTCCTGGGTTCAGGCAATTCTTCTGCCTCAGCCTCCTGAGTAGCTGGGATTACAGGCACGCGCCACCATGCCCAGCTAATTTTTTGTATTTTTAGTAGAGACGGGGTTTCACCATGTTGGCCAGGATGGTCTCGGTCTCTTGACCTCGTGATCCACCCGCCTCGGCCTCCCAAAGTGCTGGGATTACAGGCGTGAGCCACTGCGCCTGGCTTGTATTTATTTTAGAGACAGGGTCTCGCTCTGTCACCACCGAGGCTGGAGTGCAGTGGCATGATCACAGCTCACTGCAGTCAAACTCAAGAGGCTCAGGTGATCCTCCTGACAGCCTCCCAAGTACCTGGGACCACAGGGGCATGCCACCACACTGGCTATTTTTTTTTTTTTTTTTGAGACGGAGTTTTGCTCTCTCACCCAGCCTGGAATGCAGTATCGCAATCTCGGCTCACTGCCTCAGATTCCTGAGTAGCTGGGATCACAGGCACGCACCACCAAGCCCAGCCAGTTTTGTATTTTCAGTAGAGACGGGGTTTCTCCATGTTGGTCAGGCTGGTCTCGAACTCCTGACCTCAGATGATCTGCCCGCCTCGGCTTCCCAAATTGCTAGGATTACAGGTGTGAGCCATCAAGCCCAGCCCCAGCTAATTTTTAAATGCTTTTGTAAAGACTGGGTCTCGCCGTGTTTTCCAGCCTGGTCTCAAACTCCTGGGCTCACGCGACCGTCCTGCCTCAGCCTCCCAAAGTGCTGGGATTACAGTCAGAAGCCACCAAGCCTAGCCCAGGGAAAGAGGTGTCTTTTTCAATAGGAAATTTGAGGAAAAAAAAATAGAGACATGGAGAGAGACAGAGACTGAGAGGGAGACCAACGGAGAGACCTGGAGGAGAGGCAGGGATAATGAGACACAAACAGAACCCCAGAGAGAAACAGAGCAACAGAGAGCAGCTGATAAAGACGCCGGTCACGGGGGCTCACACCAGCAATCCCAGCATTTTGGGAGGCTGAGGCAGGAGGATCGCTTGAGCTGGAGAGGTTGAGACTGCAGTGATCCGTGATTATGCCACCGCATTCCAGCCTGGACCCCGTCTCAATAAAAAGAAAATAACGTAAGAGACTGAGACACAGAGAGAGAGAGAAAGGTGGCAAGGTCAGAACGAGCACTAACTTGTACGGGAGCTGTTGAATGAATTACAAAGAAAGGTTCCTTCCTGGGGCCCTCTCACCTCTGCAGCTGGGTCCTCTTGTGCAGTCAACGACCTGCCCCACTGTCTGTGGCAGCCGGAGCAGCGTCTGTCTTGATATCTCGCATTGAATGAATGCTCAGAGTTAAGAGAATGCCAGAGCCCAGCCTGGAGTCACACAGAAAGAGGAGCGAGAGGCAGGGCGGGTCGGAGGCGGGAACTCCAGGTGTTGGCAGTTTCTGGCTAAACTGCTGAGGTCTTCTGAGGGAACCACCTGGACTCACTTGCCCCCTAGGAGGATTCCCTGGGACCTTCTTGGAGCGCCAACTAGGTGGGCGGCCAAGGCGGGAAGTGGCCCCTCCCGAGGACGCCGCGGGCCCCAGCCAGACGGTGGCTGCCAAGTCTCACCCAAAACTCCTCACGGCCCAGACTTGCTCAGGGTGGAGCCCGGAGTCTGAGAGGCCCTGGCGGGGAGCAGGCGGGCTTCCCCGGGTTTCACAGCCCCGAGCTGGGAGGGGGCTGGCAGGGGTCACCTGGTGTAACAGCTTGTGCAAAGGCCTGGAGGGGACAGGGAGGAAGGTGACGGACGTGATCACGTCAAAACCGTAGCTGGGGGAGAATGAAGCGCAAGAGAGCTTCAGGGCCAAGTTAGGAAGCTGAAACTCAATCGTGTTTTCAAACGTTTAACCTTTTATTCAGTACACTCTCCAAACAGCATCTCTGTATCTAGTTCCAAGCTGGGTGATCCTGCGGCCCCAACAGTAGCGATGACTCTTGACTGCTCAGAGGAGACACAGACCTCCCAGTTCGGTAGATCCCCGAGTGAGTCACAGGTGAGACTGGAGGCAGCAGAAACCTCGAGGAAAGTAGGCTCTTCTTGAAGGATAAGAAATGGCTGCATGAAGAAGCGGGTATTGAAGCTAGGGCTTTGAAGGATGAATAGGAGCTTGCCAAACAAAGAAGGTGGGACATGCAAACCAAGTGGAGGGACTGTGGCCAGAACTTAGGGACATGTGGATGGAGGAGCAGGAAGAGTCAGGGTGAGCCTTCTCCAGATCCAAACCCAGCAGCCTGTCATTCAAGGCCAAGAAACCCCCCGATAGCTCCCCTTGGCCCTGTTTAGCCCTGTCAGGCCTAGGACTTCCTCAGAGCAGCTCCGACAACTGCAGCCACTGTCATCTCTCCTCCTTGGGTCACAGGGACCATGCACTTTGGTACACGGTGACACTCCGTCAGGGCTGCTTTCCACGGCGTGGCTGTGGGACCCTAGGCTCATGCCTCAGTTTCCCAACCTCGAAAATGGGCTGCAGGAAGCCACTTTTGCAGCTTATGTTTATCTCAGGCCAGGGAGGCCTTCGACAAATGATGCAAAGGAGGAAGAGAAAAATGGAAGATGGGGACGGAGAGGGAAGGAAGGGGGCAGAGGAGGAGAGACGGGCTCGGATGGGAAGAGCGGGGAGGAGAAGGCTGCGCACCTCCCCCCCCAGGTCATCACCAAGAGACAGGCCCAACATTATTATTTCAGAACACGCCAGCCAGCGCTGTTGAGGCTTAAGAAATGGGTGATGATTTGCATGTAATCTGCATGCAATTTGCATACTGTTTGTTAAATGTCAAAACGCCCTGAAAATGCTTTCTTCCACTTCCACCCCAAGTCGAAAAGCAGGAAACCCTTCCCCACTTCCTCCACCAGCTCCCGGCCTGGGCTGGGGACCCCTCGGTTCAGAGGCTGCTGGGACGCCAGTCCAGAGGGTGGTGACCCCGGGCAAGCCAAACGCCATCTCTGAAATGGGCCGTCATCCCGGCCTCTGCCGAGTGAGACGGGGCTCCCAAGAGACGTGCGCAGGTCCCAGCATGGAGCAGGGACCACGGAAGGGAACTGGGGCGATTACTAAATGCCCCGTTTTCTAGCCAAACCCTGATGGAGGCAGGTCCCTGAATAAGCACAGAGAAATGAGTGCCGGAGGGGACCCAGGCTGGAGACAGACGCGTGTGACCCAGCTGTTAGCAGACGCGCAAACCAGGCATGAGCAGGGATCTGGGCTGCCTCCCTGGGCTCTGTGTCCCTGACAACCTCTGGGGCCTCAGTTTACCCTCTGCGGAACAGACAGCAGAAGACTCTGCTCTAGGAGGAGTCCCTTGGGCACACAGTGGGGTCTTTGGGGACAGGGTCCTGGGCTAGGCACCAAGGGCTGAAGGGGGGATAGCAAGACCCCCCTCCAGGCACACCGGGGGGCCAGCAAGACCCAAGTCACTCCGCAGAGCAGCTCGGGCAGTTCTGCCCACTGGAGTAAAGAGGAGCCCCTCTCTGTCTCCCCTCCATCTCCCCCTCCTCTCCGCCAAGCAGGAGTTGGAGGGGAGATGCCCCCCATTCAGCGGATGCTCTGAGGGGAGGCAAGCCGGAGCCCACCCGGCCGTCCCCGAGCTAAGCAAACGCGCAGTCTGGGCGCAGCTGTCCCAGTGGTGGCGATTACATGTCCACCTGACCGCGCTCTGAGCCCTGCAGCCAACAGGACTCTTCATTAAAACATTCCTCCTGGCCAGGCGCGGGGGCTCCCGCCTGTAATCCCAGCACTTTGGAAGGCCGAGGGGTGGCGGGGGGGACCACAAGGTCAGGTCCTGGCTTACATGGTGAAACCCCGTCTCTACTAAAAATACAAAAAATTAGCCGGGCGTGGTGGCCTGATCCCAGCTAACTGGGAGGCTGAGGCAGGAGAATCGCTGGAGCCCGAGAGGCGGAGGTTGCAGTGAGCCGAGATCGCACCACTGCACTCCAGCCTGGGCGACAGGGCGAGTCTCCATCTCAAAAAATAATAATAAATTCTTTCTTCCCAGGCTCCAGGTTCCGGCACCTCTGCCCGTGGTGCCTGGATAGGGAACATGGCCCTGGAGGACATACGCAGCCCCTGTGCCCCCTCCCCCAATCCTCTCCCCCACCCCCCTCCCCAGGGGCCGAGCAATGGTGGCATGGCTGCAGGTCACCGGTGCAACCCTGAGGGTCTCCATCCACTTGGAATTCCCACGACACATTCCCGGCAAAGCCCCGAGATGCCCAGTTCCCCACCCCCAGATCCGCCTGCGCTTGGCCGGAGGCCTTCAGACCCCCTCCCCCACCACCCCGAGACCCCTGGCAGACAGCGAGGCATCCGGGTTGAAGGGGAAGGGGAAACCGCCCACGGGGTGGGCACCGGTGCCTGCTGTGGAGGCACTTGGGGTGGAGGTGGGGCGCTGGTGGAGGCCTGAGAAGGAGCTGGGATGACGGCATCTCCCTACTTAGTCACTGGAGAGCTCGGGCAGGACTGGCTGCCCCTCCAGCCAGGGCTGTTCACTGCACGAAGGGCCTGTGAGGGCCCCAATGAAGGCTAGGTGAGGGCCTGTGAGAACCCCAATGAGGGCTAGGTGCTCTCTGCCTGGGAAGGAGGGAATCCAAGAAGACTTCCTGGAGGAGGCTGCAACCCCAGGTGGATTGGAGCTGCGGAGAAGAGGTTGAAAGTGCTCCAGGCAGGGAGCATGGCTTGGGCAAAGGTGTGGCTGGAAGAATATTGTGGGCAAGAGGGGAAGTGCCTCCGAGTGCTCTTCCTCTGCCCTGTCCTTCTCCTCATGCGATGTCCTCTGGCTGTCCCTGGGAGCCTTCCGCAGTGGTGCAGTGCTTCCCACTGAAGACAGGGCACCCGGGGCCCCAAGAGGGGAGCCAGAGCCTCAAAGTCACGCAGCAGAGCTGAAAGGCTCAAGGCTCCCTCCTGGTAGGCTGGGCAGGAGCAGAAATGTCCTAGGTCCGTAAGGGACTGGGGCTCTGGCAGGAGCGTCTGAAGCAGGGTGCATCAGCTGGTCAGGCCAGGGTTTCACTGTCCTCCTGGGAGCCCAGACCCTGGAACCACAGAAGGGGAGGGATGAACCGTTTCCATCCAGGCCCAGGGAAGGGTGACGCACCGGTTTGCCAGCCAGTTCGCCTTCCCTGTTACCTAACATCCCTGATGTGGACAGTGACACCGCAGCCATCCCTCCGGTGGATGTCCCTGGTATCCTTTAAGAGGAAGGAACAGGGATGGCCCCTATTAAACTTGGCTGTTTTCTGCCACCTGATGGCAGTCACAGGAATTGCAGGCAAAGAGCACCGCGAAACCAAACCGAAGCTCAATCCTTCATTGTAAGGAGACAGGTAACAGGGCCCAGAGAGGAGAAGCAATTTTTCCAAGGTCACTCGGCAAGTCAGGGGCAACACGGCTCTGGTCCGCGTTAGTCCAAAGAGAAGTGAGAGACACCACGCCCGTGTCCCTACTCTAGGGGCCGAAGCATAGGTGTATGGACGGGGGTGATGGTCAATAACATCTGGTCCCTTCTCCTCTCTGGGCCTCAGTTTCCCCATCTATGGTCTCCACAATCTCTAAGGTCCTTTCTCTGTCTCAACTACTAGAATGACTTACCTGGAGTGAGATCTAGGCTCCCAGGAGGCAGAAGACGTAACTTCCAAAAGTGCCCCCTACCCCAGCATATTCCTCCCGCCAGTACCTGGGTCCCCTCGGTCATGGCTCTGCCTCCTCCAAGCCAGGCTACCTGAAAGAGGGAGACAGAAAGACCCAGGTTCAGGAAAAACACAGCCCTTGCCTTGGCATTCAAGGCTTCCCTGTTCTGCCCAGTGTCTGGCTGGTGCCTTTCCCGTAGCAGCCAGGGCTCACCTCCAACCCAGAGATTCCCTCCCCTGCATCCAGGCACTGCTAGAGCTCCAGAAAAATATCCTGAGCAGCCCACTCCTTCCCTCCAGAGACAACATATCCTGCTAATATTTACTGAGCACCTACTACGTGCCAGGCACTGAACTGGGAATCCAGCAGTGAACAAGATGGACGGCAGTGCCCTCATGGAGTCTACAGCCTACTGCAGGAGACAGGTGACAAAAATAAGTAAAATGTAGAGAAGTCAGATGCCGACAAGCAATGGGGGGAGAGAGAGAAAGCAGCGATGGAGTGGAATGCAATTTTATTATTATTATTATTTATTTTTTGAGACAGAGTCTCCCTCTGTCACCCAGGCTGGAGTGCAGTGGCACAGTCTTGGCTCACTGCAACCTCTGCCTCCTGGGTTCAAGAGATTCTCCTGCCTCAGCCTCCTGAGAAATTGGGATTACAGGCGCCCACCACCACGCCCGGCCAATTTTTGTATTTTTAGTAGAGACGGGGTTTCACCATGTTGGCCAGGCTGGTCTCGAACTCCTGACCTCATGATCCACCTGCCTCGGCCTCCCAAAGTGTTGGGATTACAGACGTGAGCCACTGCACCCAGCTATTTATTTATTTATTAAGAGAAGGAGTTTCACTCTGTCGCCCAGGCTGGAGTGTAATGGTGGGATCTCGGCTCCCTACAACCTCCGCCTCCCAGGTTCAAGCAATTCTCCTGCCTCAGACTCCCGAGTAGCTGGGAGTACAGGCATGCACCACCACACCCGGCTTATTTTTGTATTTTTAGTAGAGACGGGGTTTCACCATGTTGGCCAGGCTGGTCTCGAACTCCTGATCTCATGATCCACCTGCCTCAGCCTCCCAAAGTGCTGGGATTATGGGTGTGAGCCACCGCGCCTGGCTGGAATGCAGTTTTAAACAGGGATGATCAGGGAGGGCTGCAGGGAGAGAGGGCGGTGGGAACATGAGGGAACAGCATTGCAGGCTGAAGGAACAGCCTTTGCAGAGGCCCGGAGGCAATGAGGAGGCCTGTGTGGCTTGAGCAGAGTGAGCAAGGGGGAGACAGGGAGGAGGGGAGAGCAGGGAGGGAATCCGGCAGCTCATCCAGGGTCTTGCAAGCATGGGGAAGGGCTTGGGCCTCGACCCTGATGGAGGCAGGAGCCATGGAGGGCTGCCGGCAGAGGAAGGACGGGCCCTGACTCAGGGGCTCCCAGGTGCCCTCTGGTACCTGCTAGTGGGAGGACAGACTTGTAGGGGACAAGGGCAGGAGCCTCGGACCTGGGTGGGGGTGACTGGGCTGGTCTGGGGGCTGAGAAGTGGGTGGATTCTGGTTAGACTTTGAAGGCGGAGCTGATGGAAGCAGCCAAAGAACAAATATAGGGGCTTGGGAGGAAGAGAGGAGCAGACGGACGCCAGTGAAACCCTAATAACACGTGTTCCCGCTGAGGAAGCAGGAGGGGTCCTGATGAAGGGCGTGGCTCGAAAGCTGGGATTCAGCCAGGCTCTGCCCCCTCCCAGCTAAACCTTGCTCTGCCTGAGTTCTTCCACCTGCGAACGGCCAATGACAACAGCACCCAGCCGGGCGGGGGGGCTCACGCCTGCAATCCCAGCACTCTGGGAGGCCGAGGCGGGCAGATTGCCTCAGGTCAGGAGTTCGAGACCAGCCTGGCCAACACGGTGAAACCCCGTCTCTACTAAAAATATAAAAAATTAGCCGGGCGTGGTGGCAGGCACCGGTAATCCCAGCTACTCAGGAGGCTGAGGCAGGAGAATCCCCTGAACCCGGGAGGCGGAGGCTGTGGTGAGCCGAGATGGCACCACTGCACTCCAGCCTGGGTG